GGTGTGTTCAATGGCATGCTGGTCCATGAGAAAGTGTTTTGTTTTCTCATCACGCAGGACCCATCAGTCCTGATGCAGCTGGGCGTGAAAAATGGTTTTGCCAGGGCCTAAGGCTTCTTGTCGTTGGCTCTGTTTATTTTCTCGGTTCTTGCACGCTACCTACCAATGGCCAACCCCGAGACGTCAAGGGACAGTGGTGGAACTCCCATGTGTCGAGGCCGCGTGGGTGGAGAGCGTCAGCCGTGGCAGCGTCACGGCTTCTTGTGAATGGCCTACTCCCAACCCCTTCGGAATCGACGAGGAGGGGGGGGGCAATAAAGTGTACATTTGCAATGGCGATTGGGGTTGCACATGCAACTTGGCAAGAAGAAACGGTGGGCAAAGCGCCACAAACAGGGAAGAGGGGATTGGTTTGCGAGAGCGGGATCTGAGGTGACTTACTAACGCAAGATGAAGATGTGAACTGCTTCTTGCCCGCCTCCACGTCAAGCCCCAAAGCCTGTGATTTCGCCGAAGAAACCACCTCATGCAAATGGGAAGACAACGACGACCAGGACTTGGATTTCAATTGCTTCACAGTTCCGCCAAACACGCGGATCCTTGGATCATGCGTCAAGGGTGGACAGGCCACAGAATGTGTCTTTCAGAGTTGCATCTGGCTCGGCGGACAAGTTTGTCAAAATGTCGACACGTGCTATCAAGAAGGGGAGACCCCAATACAGTGGTGCGTCAGCAAAACTGCAGGTGGCGCAATAAGCCACTACAACCTTCTACTTGAGTGTTGTACAACAACGACCTCGCCAACCACGTCACCCACGACCTCGCCAACGACCTCGCCGACTACGTCACCAACGACCTCACCGACCACGTCACCAACAACCTCACCAACCACGTCACCAACGACCTCGCCAACCACGTCACCAACAACCTGACCGACCACGTCACCCACGACCTCGCCAACCACGTCACCAACAACCTCACCGACCACGTCACCCACGACCTCACCAACGACCTCGCCGACTACGTCACCGACGACCTCACCGACCACGTCACCAACAACCTCACC